AACAGGGTATCCTAAACATTCATTATACGGCTAAAATGCTCAGAACACTCAAAGAAATAAATTCAAATATAAATCTAGCACACAATAAATTATAGCTTTATAGGAACAGTAAAGCCACCATCATGGATGATAGAAAATTGCCCCCATACTTAAATGTTACCTTTTCCACCAGAGGGCATCTAGCTCACTGGTTATAGCCTAGTAAAAATTCAATGAAAATTACTAGACTTGTTTGTTGTAGAAGGACTAAGTATATAAGTAAATAGTCCAGATTTATTACTCTGCAAACTTACTTTGATGACCAACAGTTATGGGAACATTTTTTGATTATTTCTGTCTTTGCATGCCTTAGTGGAACAGGTGTAAAGAAAAAGACAGGATCAAGAAAAATTGTTCTCTGGAATCCAATACTATGAATCAATTACTCCCCCTCCTCCTCTTCCTCCTTCTCTTCCACCTCTTTCCTACCCCCTCCCCACTAAGGGAAACAGCTTTAATCTCTCATATCTACTGGTAAGCATGAGCAAGCAAAAGGATGATTAGGGAGAGGAAACAGAGACGAGGAGGCACACCACCCTATGTGTCAAAAGAGACAGCTGCTGCGAAGTGGGATGGAGAAGAGGTAGGCACACGGGTGTTCCGTTAGTGACTTCTACAGCTCCAGATGAACAACTCAGTAATGAGAATGCTGCATTCGTCGCTTTTCTTATCCCATGACCAAATACCTAACAAGAAGCAACTCAGAGAGGAAGGGCTTAATTAGGTTACTAGTTTGCGGATGCGGTCCGTCATGGCGGCAGGAACAGGAGGTACTTGCTCGCATTGCACCCATGGTCAGGAAACGGAAGAAGATGAATGTCTCCGCTAGCTTTCTCCTTTGTGTTCAGACTGAAACTCCAGCCCATTCGGGGAGTCATCCCTCCTCCTCAGTTAACTTTCTCTGAAAATTCTCTCAGACTTCCCCCGGAGGTGGATCTTCTAGGTGATTCTAAATCAAGTTGACAGTCAAGATTGACCATGGTACACTCTGAGAGAGTCAGTGCAGATGGCTGCTGGGCATTGCCTGGGTTACAAAGGGAGAGAGCTGGCCGGCACAACTATCATCTGCGGTTATGAAAAAGATGGTGTTGTATAAAGTGTAATTATGTGATAAATCATTTGGAGGCATTTCTAATGAAAAACATTCACTGGGAAAGATTAACCAGAACTTGTGTGTCCACCGTCTGAAGCAGTTTGTAGCTCTTGGTCCTAAGCCCTCATAAATCTGAAGGAAGCTTCTGTTTATCGATTTTATTTGCAGAACACACTCAGGGTATAAAGTAATTTGATTTTTTTTTTTAAAACGGGGTTTAGGGTCTGCCCCAACAGGATTATAACTTACTAAGCATAAAAGCCAACACATAAAAACAAACATACAATTTAAAGAGAAACGGGCTCGTGCCAGCCGAATCTGCGAATCTGGAGAGGTGGTGGGAATGCTCCCAGGCACACCCACACTCCCATCTCTCTGCTGGGCTGAAATCTCCTGGTGGGTGATATTTTGGATGCCTCTCATGCATAGCGTTGCTCAACTGTTTTGAGAGGAGGGAAAAACACATAAATCCCACAGAGAAGAACATGGTGCTTGTTTAACAAGTACAAGGGGTGGGTAGAGGGAAAGCGTCCTCTCTGCCGTTTGCCAGAGCTCAGAATAATTATGGGAATGTGAACCATTTTTCTCAGCCTCTGTGAAATCTGTGCTCTTCCCATCCAAAGCAGCCACTCAGCCTGGCCGATGCTGCTAATGTTATCCTTGCTCCAGCCCAACACACGTGTGCAAGCTTTGCAGCTTGCAGGCTGTAAACTGGTGGAGAAACGGCATCTAGTGTCTTTATGTTTCTTTTGCACAGATTCTTCTTTTTTAACGCTAAGCAATTGTGGATAATTAAATTTTTATAGAAGAATTTTTTTTCCTTTAGTAACCCCATTAGGGCTTTGCTGTATTTGTCCATTGCCTCATAAAAGGCGGGGGGGGGGACCCTGCCACATCTGTGCCTTAACCGTTTTGTGCAGATTTCTCAGCTCCATGGTTTATGGGATGTATTCATGACCAGGAAACCCCACACTTGGTGTCATAAATGCCAAAGGTGGTAAAATCAACCTTGAAGTGAAGACTGCGCCTTGCTTGAAGACAGCAATGAGAAAAGAGATGGTGAAGGGCTGAGCTCTAGGTCACAGCCGCAGGGTAGATAATGAATGGCCTTTGTGAGACTTTCTGGTGATTGTATAACCACGACAGCTATGGACCCCGAGTGCAGGAATGTCTGGACTCTGCTGTGCAGTGCAATTGCCACCACTTCAAAGAGACGCGAGGGCTGGGAGTCACTGGGAAGACCAGCGGTACACCTGGCAAGCCACAATCAGAACGCTTTGAAAGGGGGTCCTAAAGCCAGGGCATCAAAGAACACCACAGGCTTCTTGAATAGTGGCGGTGGCTACAAACGAAAGGGCAGTCACAACCTGTTGGGAATAAGCCAGTGGCAACCGCTGGTACATTCGTGTTAATGGGAGAAGTATCACCACCCATGACAGCACCTTTGAAAAGGAATGCAAGGGTACCTCTGGGCATCATGCCCAAAGCAAAGCTGTGATCCCTCATTGGGAAGGACCTTGCCTGACTATTTTTGCTCAGATGTTTCTGTCCACAGCTCTAAAGACCAACCCACTTCATTCTCTATGAGCCTCCGTGTTCACACCCCACTTCCCATCTTCTGTTCATCTCTGTGGAATGGGAAACACTCTGCATACGTGTGTGATACTGATATCCGAGGACTAGCAGCTACAGAGACCACCCTGGACCAAGCACAGGGCCAAGGCAGAGCCTGCCCTGCGTCGTTTCATCCTCAGAGAGAATCTGGGAGTGCAGAGGAGACCCTGAGAGGAAAGGTCTCAAATGCTCCAGATTACATACATGAAGCAATAGGGCTTTGGGGAGATAATTAATGTATCCAACACTTGCGGCGGTCAAATGATGAAAATGTCAACCTCCTTAAATGACTCACTTTCTAGTTCCATAAACACCCGAAAAATAGTCTCAAGTCAAATTATTCAGTTCAAAACATTTTTTTGAAAAAAAAATATTTTCACAAATTAAGTCATGGGAAGGATACCTTTGAAAGTGGCACTTGGACATTTAAAATATAGTTTCTTTTGTAAATAAAAGTATTTGGTGAATTTCTTTCGAGCAAGCTGGAAATGTGATTAGACCATCACCTTCTAACATGGGCGGCATGGTCCTGGTGCATGCTGTTCAAACAGAACTCTGATATATGACCAAGAATCATGCTACTGTATAAGCAAGGAGGAGTAGAGCTATACAAACACCAACAGAAGCCAGATTGAGGGAACAGAGGCAGTAGAATGGGCTGGCCCTGAATCTGAAGAATTTCTCTGAGGCAGTATGGCTCATAGAGCCATCTGCCTCAATATTACCTGGCTTCTTACCAAACGTACTCTTCATGGATTCCAGCCAAAGAGTCTGCAATTTAACAATCTGCCTAATGATTTTATACACAGTAATATGGGTACTTTTGATCTAAACTTGAGTAACTACTTCAGCGTATGCTGAAGACTAAAAAAAGAAGATGCCACAGGGCCCAAGAATCTGGGAGACAAGGGAGGAAAACTGTGGCCTTTGTACTTTCCAATGGGGTTGGCATGTCCCAAATTCAAGAGACAATAGGAACCCCTGAACCAGTGCCTGTTTATACAGGAGCAGGATTGCAAGGGACAGGAGCACTCTTGTGATGTAATACACCGCTGTGTCTTCCGCACTAGTTTCTGAAAGGCAAGGGTCAGAGATTACAATGTTTAGAAAACTTCATCTTCAACAATGCTTTGTCCCTTCCCTGTCTTCATTTAAACCTTCTTTGCAAATTGAATTCTAGTAGGAGAAATAAATCAAGCTGTTATTACTTTAATATAAATTTTATTATCTATAAAAATGGCAAGGTTGGACAAGACGTTAGTCATAACTTACCCTTTTGAAAGGCTTTTTTGAATATACTGCCTTATTTTGCTTTCGTTAAAAAACACAATGAAATTGTTACCTTTATGTTACATATTTCAGACCTCCAGTCCTGCCAAAGACCTGTAACATTGAGGGGCTGGCTTGTTGGGATTTCTGTCCCACCCAGTACCCCACAGCCGGCAAGCCCCAAAGAAAATCACACAGAGATCTCTATAAGTTATAAAGCTGATTGGCCCATTAGGTCAGGCTTCTTATTAGTTCTTGTAACTTATATTAACCCATTATTCTGATCTATTTTAGCCATCTGGCTCAGTGCCTTTTCCAGCTGGCAGATCATATCCTGCTTCTTTGGTGATCTGGGCAGGAGTGGGAAGAATCAACTTCCTCCTTCCCAGAATTCTCCTGTTCTCATTGCATCATTTCCTGTCTGGTTTTCCCGCCTATACTTCCTGCCTGGCCAATCAGCGTTTATTTAAAATATGATTGACAGATTACAAACCATTCTCCCACACCAAAGACCATGCAGGCAGTAATTAACATGACCATTTATTCATTCCTTCAGCAAAGGTATAGTCTTTTTTTACTTAAGCCAGGTCCGAAGATGAGAAAACTGAGTAAACAGTCCTGATCCGCCTGTGAGGGAATTTACACTCTATCCACAAATCCAAGAAGATGTTGATTAAATTCATCTGACCAAAACCCACTGTATCATAATCCCCGTGCTATGAGCACAGCACCTTCCAGACTCTGTCCTCTTGGGTCCCTGGCTCCTGTGATTCTGGGAATCATGGAGCTCTGGGAATCTTGTCGGGACTAATGTGCTAGAAGCAGGAAGAATGCAAAAGAAAAAAAAGAAAAAAGGAAGTGGACACAGATAAGAAAATAAATAAATAACCTTGCCACCATGTCTGCTTCCTAATTGCCTAGGCCATTCATGGCTTCCTGCTGGCCTTGCCTGGGTGACACTCTCCTTTTCTTACCATACCTGCAGCAGCAGCATTGGCGTGTTCTTCTGTGGACCCAAAGCCATGTCGAAGACTCTTCAAAAGATGTGCCATTTGTATTCATCAGCGGACCCCAGGGGAGTTCATTTCTATTACAACAAGGAAAGCTTCTAGATGCTGGAGGTAAACTGAATGTGCTGTGCGAGCAGCTGCAATCAAAGAGGTCAAAAGTCGGGAGAGTTTTCCCCCAAAGAGCCAACAGCAGTCATTTTAGCTTTATGAATAGTATGGGTTTAGCCTAATCTACCCAACACTGTGGTTCCAAGATGCTAAAGTAGCCACAAATGAGAACACATCACAACGGGCTAGCTGAGTTCTTTTACCATAAGAATTTACTTAAGGCCACTGAAGGTAAATCTCATATAATATTTTCTGTCATGAAATTTGTATTTTTGGTAATTTAAAAATGTAAAAGTCGGGGTTTGGGCATATAGGTGAGTGGTCAAACACTTAACTAAAATGTGGAAATCATGGGTGTTTAAATGTAAAACATGGGCCAGATTGGTCCTGTGAAATGTAGACCTAATGTTAATCGAAGCGTGGTTATAACTGTGTACAACCGCTGACGTTTTTCTACCTTGTATGACAGACACATAATAACTAAATTTCGTGTTTGCTTTTCTCTTTTCCCTTGCTTACTTCTTGATTTCCTTTTCCCTCTCTTTTAACAAACAGTTATAGCTCAACTCAACTTCCATCCCATTAAACAGCTGAGACTGTTTTTTAATTTTCACCAATTTAGTCTTTTCATGCCATGTTGCTGGTTGCAAAGTATCACTCACATCTTATAGTTTTTCCCCACCAGTGTTAATGTTTTATAATCATTTCATCAAATATATCTACTGATTTGAAAATTACTGAGCCCCAGACAGCAGCAAGTAGATGCATTAGTGGCATATTAAGCCTTTTATTCTGGCTTTATATAAAATTTATTAACTTCAGAGGACGCCTTTGACATCCTTTGACATCCCTATGCCTGTTAATATCAGTGGCCAGCTGAAACTGCTTAACGGCCAGCACTGGGACCTGTACACCACACCTAGGCCCTTAGCTTCTAGGTAATACATCATAAGCAATAGAACAAAAGCATCTGCTGCAACTGAGACCAGATTGTGATTTTGAATGTTTCTTATCACCGTGGGGCATCATAAAAGAAGTGAATTGCCCTGACATGCTTTGATTTTACAAAATCGTTTAGCTACTTAAGCTTCTTCACGTATTTCTAAAATACAAATTGATTATTTACTTTATATTATCAATTGTTTTAATTTTGAGTATAAATTCAGTCATATTGGGTAGGGTGTACTTATACAGTTGGGTATATTCAATAATATCTCACACATAATTTCTACTTCCTATGCTTGGGAATTTCTCAGTATCTGAAAGTATCATATAGATAGATAGATAGATAGATAGATAGATAGATAGATAGATAGATAGATAGATAATAGATAGAAAAATTGGTAGATAATTATTTAAGCACTAATTAACCACATTCAGGCACACTATGCAATTATTTTCCCATTTAAGCTTGATTCAATCATTACTGCTAGAAATTTCTATAGTCAAATCTAACCTTTGGCCAGAATATTAAGTACATTAATTTTTTTCCTCTTAAACACAGTCAGTTAGTACTTTCCTTTCTTTGCCTGTTTAAAAATAAATTGTACTATTTGGTCATCCAATTTTGTCTAATAAAATAAAACTTTTTCTGGTAGAATATAAAAAATCCAATTGTTTTTTATTTCTGGAAATACTGTTCAACTTTTTAAATATATAATGTATATATAGTGAGATTCTTGCCTATTCAAACAGAAAAATATAAAAATCTGATTTCTGTAATGTTGCAATAACCAAATTAAAAGGGAAATAATTTATTCAAAATAGAAACATTCCACAAAAATTATTCAAGGTAATTAGATACATCAATAAACATAAATGAAAAGATGTGCAAATGGATACAAGTAGTATTAACTAAATTTGAATATTAAACATTCTGAAAACATCAATTTATTCAAAATTAATTTCTATGCCAAATGAAAGGCCAATTAAATTAAAATTTTCTTGATTTTGATTTTAAATGATATATACTCTAAAGTTCTTTTGAGACAGTATATGGGAAAAAAAAGAAAAGCAAAAAGCTTACGTGGGGAAGAAAGCTGGAAACTGGGAAGAAAAAGGAAAGCAAAACTGCACAAGATAAAGGAAGAAGGGAATGAGAGGAGAGGAGTAGGAGAGACAGGAGGGGAGGGCATGAAGGGGAGAGAAAGAACAGACAAGGAAATGGGCAAAGGGGAAACTTCCTGTGTAAGGAGCAAACCATCCCGAAGGGGGAATTCCCTAAAGCCACCAAAGAGGAAAACTATATTATTATCTGCCTGTGAACAACAATCAGCGTGGCTGCAACCTCCTCATCAGCTTCCCTAGAGACCCTATGTTAAGAAAATTCTGTCTTAAAAGTACTAATGTAACTTTGGGCCCTGGGAAATTCACTTCCTAAAATGAAGGCAAAAGACAGACTTTCCGGACAGAACCAATCGGGACATGCCCTCCCTCTCCAGAGCAACTGCCAAAGGCGATACTCACTTCGTGAGGGAGGAAGTTCAGTTTACCAAGACACAGTGTGCAAAGATAAGTCAAGGAAAAAAAAAGGTTTCCTCAGAATCTCTAAATAATGATTGCAAAGAACAATAAAAGATCAGTCAAAAATAATTGTGTAGGGGTAGGGCAGAGGTAGAGGTATGTGGGGGCTTCCCACCATGTCTCTTGAGACAGAAGTTAAAAATCACACACCCCAGTACCTAGCCTTTTCCCATGTGGGTGCCAGAATCCAACTCACAATAAGTTCTTTATTAGCTGAACAATCTCCCTGGCCCCTGGAAGAATACTTTTAAAATATAAACGTGAAATACTAGATATCCTCCGCTTGTAAGGTAGGAGAACACTGGAATCCAGCGTCCTGTGGTCCTTTCGTTGTTTGCAAAGACAGGACTACCGTGTGTAGCCTTTGCTATGTTCTGTAAGGAAATGACCAGGGGACCTGAAATGACCCGCTGCACTCCCCACAGTGACGCGGTTCGTGAGTTTTGGTTGAGACTAAGCTTTTCGTTAACTTGTGGGGTGACCAAGGAAAGTGTGAAGGCTGTTCTCGGGTGAGTTGTGTCTCTGCCTCAGCTTGCGCTTAAGACTTCCTGTCGGTTCCATTTCCACTCAACTGAACTTCGCCGGCTCTGCTGTTCTTGGACCGCGTTCAGTCCCCTTCAGGCTTCTGCAGACACCGCTGGCGTTTTTCTCTCATCTGTATGGCTGCGGTGAAGTATGGAGCTATCTCTTCCTCTCCACTTTATAAGTTACATTTTGATTTTTGACCTGGGTGGCTAAGTGATTCTTTTATCTTAGAGACTCAGAACTTTGGACAAACATTTCATATAGTACTTTTGCTATACTATGTTGTGGGGGGTTTCTTTCACCTGAAACAATTTTCTTATATTAGATCTTTGTTTGTCCTTTGTTTCTTCCTTTTAGAACCATCAATTATTTTAATAATGGATTCTTTTCCATTCTGTTAATTGTTCTAATGATTATAATCTCTTTGTATCTTTTATTTACATAATTTCCCCCAAACTTTAACTGGCCCAAATTATTACTGTTGGATCTCAAACTGGTTCCTGTTTTAGAAAACAGCAAATAAATAGATGGGGTGCTATATAATATTGCCAGTAGAATCTGGGCACTATTCAAAGGTGGTTTTTTCCAATGAAAACTATAAATCTTAGTATTCGAGTTCAGTTGAGCAAACAAAAATTATAAACACTCTCTTCTCTGTTCAGGACACATTATGCCATGAAAAGAAAATAGATGACAAATACAGTTCTGTTTTCATCATTTCTTACATTTGGGGCGTTCAGATTTGGGCTTATAATTAATCTTGCAGTGATGTCTATTGTCTTTGCAGTTTGAAGATGTTAAAATCAGGTGCATAAAGACGACACCTTCAGCTTCAGTGTCCCTTTGGCTCTCAGCCTGGTCTGTTCACTTTGCTTCTTTCATAACTTGGTCGTTGGTGGAGACTACTCATTTGTTTCTCAGGTGCCCAGATTCAGATAATAACATAGAGACTATATTAATTACAACACTGTTGGCCAATAGCTTATGCATAATTCTAGCAAACTCTTACATCTTAAATTAACCCATTTCTATTAATCTGTGAATCACCACGAGGTTGTGGCCTACCTGGTAAGGTTCTGACTGGCTGCTCACGTCTTTCTCTTTCGGCAGCTATGTGGCGTCTCTTTGATTCCACCCACTCTCTACACATCTCTGTTCGGATTTCCTGCCTGACTCTACTAATCCATTGGCCAAAACAGCTTCTTTAATAACCAATGGTAATAGAACATATTCATAGCATATAGAGGGGAACCCCACATACCTCTGCCCCTGCCCTACCCCCACACAATTATTTATGATTAATCTTTTATTGTCCTTTGCCGTCTCCTCGGCCCTTGCCTTTCTTGTATTAGTAGTTTTTCTCAACCCTCTGCCCCAAATCCCTGACAGAACCAACCCAAGGGGTGAAGGCTTACTTTGGCACATGGATCCTGAGACTCCATCCATCAGAGTGGTGGAGACGTGGGTGGTAGAGCCTGCTTCTCCATGGCAGAGGGAGCTTTCAGCAGCAAGTCTTCCAGAGGAGCAGTGAAGAAGGCAGAGAGGGCATAATGACCCCAGAAGCCAACAGAACCTTCAAGCTCCCCTCCCCACCATGGGCTACTTTCACTAGCCAAGCCCTTCCTTCTGAATGCCCCACCACCCTCAAAACAGACCCATGGGCTGGGAAACAAGGGTTCACACCATGAGCCGGTAGGTGACGTTCAGATTCAAACCACCACACCTCTCCCTGGCACAAGTTGTCAAGTTGTATTAGATTACATTTGTCCTTTATCTCCTTTATGGGCCGCCATGTGCAGCTCTCGGAGGGGGAATGCCCACAGCGGTCTCTTTATCGCATACTAACTGGATTAGTAGCTCCACAACTGTGAGTAGTCTCAAGCCCCACAATGGCCTCCATCCAAGACGTAAAATGCAGCTGCTGAAATCAGATCCATCCCAGAAGTAAAATCGGCTGCTGAAATTATGGCCAGTTTACTCTCAGGCGCGGTTCTGTGGACATCTGTGACATAGACATCTCTCTGCCACCATCTCTCATACCCCGCCCAGTTTCAAAGTCTCACTGTGTCTCCAGACTTGATCCTCTCCTCCTTCTCCGTCTCTTCTCTTGACTTGAGGATCTCAGACACCATCTGTCTGGGGATGAAACCCCAAAATAAAGCTCCAACGTAGACATCCCCCTCGACTCTCCATGACATCCCAGCTACAGGCTTTAGCACCGAGGGGAATAAGTATCTCGTGTTCTTACATGAAGAAGCAAACTCCTTTTCTTTTTCAACTTACAATTCTGTTTTTCCTCCAGTCTGTATGATTTCAGTGACGGCCACCATCATCTGCCAGCAAGCATAAACTAAACACGTTAAGAACGGCTAAGTCCTCTTTGTCTCCCCTGGATCCCCCAGTGGTGACTCCGAGCCTTGTTCAAAGTCATCATCTTAACATGTTATTTATTTCTGATTTCTGATAACTATTTCAGAAAAGCATAGGTTGTGTGTTCTTGGCTTGCAATAAGCGGGATCAAAACTTCTACCTTAATACTATTAATCTGTCTCATCTAACCTTAGGCAATGCCATTAACACATTGCCATTTTTTAATTCTTTTAAGATTCATTTATTTTATGTCTATGGTGCTCCAGTTGCATGTACACCCGCTCACCAGAAGAGGGCATCAGATCCCATTACAGATGCCTGTGAGCCACCCCACCCATAGTTGCTGGGAATTGAACTCAACCTCTGGAAGAGCAGGTTCTGAACTGTTGAACCCTCTCTTCAGCCCCTAACACATTACTATTGCATATCCTTTCCTTCTCATTCTTTCCTGTCAACTCTTCTTTTGTTTTCCTAATGAGTTTTATGAGAAAATTCACAGCCCTCCAAGTTTTTTCCTTCCCATTTTCTCCCCAAATGGACAGAAGAGAGGATGCTCTAAGAGGGTTTTTGTTGTTCTTTATTTGGTTTGGTTTTGTTGGTCTCTTTTTTTTTCATTAAATTTCAAACACTTTCAAAAAAAGCTATTAAACATCTCCCCATTGTTCTCCAAGACAGCTGTGTATTTATGATACAGGATCAGTCTAGTCATTAAAATGCCGCAACCTCCATCTACGAAAACGTCGGTCATTGCATATTTTAAAAGTATTTTCTGCCATCCTCTCCAAATCGCCAATCAAATTTCCTCAGAAGTCAATTTTATTTTTTAAAAAATGCTTACAAGTGTAAGAACAATTCTGACTATATACAATATCAATCAATACATGTAGCAGAATAAATTAAACTTTTACAACAAAAAGGATAAAACTGTTCCTCCACCCTGCCTGTGCATACAACTTTGAATGGAGGTCTCATTCAGTTACTGTCCCAAACTCCACCTCCACCCTGCCAACAACTTCTGTCCTACACTTAAAGGATGTCTGCAAAACGGGGTCAAGACCGTGATGGGGAAACCCACAGAGACAGCTGACCTGAGCTAGTGGGAGCTCAC